TAACCTGGCCGATGAAAGAGATGATATTTTCTACGATCCTCTGAAAGTAAGTTAATTAATTTTGATACAAGTAAACCTCTATTATTTATAGTAGTCTTCTTAGGGGTACTTTTCGCCTTTCGAGGCAGGCCTAGAATCTGAGTATTTCCTATCTAGTTCTATTGTTATTGAGAGCGCGATCGTTGAATCACAATTGTCTTATTAGCGAGGAGAGAAAGACCGAATGAGCTTCTCTTTAACGCTGAGCTATAAGATGAAAAATGGATCAAATGTATCCACCTCAAAATTTTATTATCCAACTTTATAAGAAGTTATATGGAATACCATTTATTAATTTTTTGAATATATATTCACCAGCACAAAACTCAATCAGAAACCCGTTGTTCTACAAAAAGTAAAACTCGTAAATATATTCGAACTTGATGGATATCGGAAGACTTTCTCCCTGAAGATCTTAAATCGACCAAAGTTTCACAACCTTATACATTGTCCGATCCAGAATTTACTTTTATCGAAAAGTTCTTAGAAAAAAGAGAACAGCGAAGACTATCGTGAAATGATTTATTAGTAATGGATGCAATGGGTCCAAATACCAATATAACTAACTCTTTGTCCCCCCAAACAATTCAACCAATACCTACTAATGATTTTGAAATACCAACTCAATACATAGCTTTACTAGAGTCTGAAATCTTTAGTAATAACGGTTCTTTAAATTCATCATCAGCGGTTTGGAGAGAGTTTGGGTTGTGGGCATATTTTCCAAAGATTCCAGATTTTAATAAATGCTTCTATCATCACTGTCGTCGTCTTTGGTCAAAAGTAAACCATGCATATCGAGAAGCCCAGAAAAAAAATGCAGAAAGTATACAATATCTCAGAAGCATTTGGGCAACCCTCTAATTATAAACTTGATGTAGCAGAAAAAACTACAAGGGATGTAGCTACAGGTGAGGAATTCGAGGGCTACTACCATGTTTTCAATCCACAGTGTTTTAGGAATTCTTTCGATGAGGTAGTAGTGGACTTTTTCGATCTAGTTAAACCTACAGGTGAAGAAGATACAATAGCAGTTGTAGATAAATATTATAGCCATAACCTTAATAAAGATAATAAATTGCATAAATCTAAAGAATTTAAGAAGGGGTTGGTGGAGCATTTTGGAGCCTTCACAGGCAATAACAATGAGCCCTATACAACCGCAAACACAGCATTAAACCATTGCTCAGAACATCAGAAATGTGTTCGAGAGCTGATTAGTGGGCTTCAACCACTATCTAATGCGGTTAATAGTTATTTACAGGAAACTTATCCAGCTCTTTATACAAAAATGGCAAAGCTCGATCTTGGCCCAAATATTCCTAAGTCTTTCGGTGCTTTTCCAACAATCGCGATCAACTTCAATGTTATTAGTCAATTTCATCGTGATTTAAAAGACCACTGAAATACGCTTTGTGTGGTGTGGCCACTTGGAATATTCAAAGGTGGGCAATTGATGTTTTCTGAGTTAAAGTTAATAATACATGCAAGAGAGGGTCAGGCTATCACTTTTAGATTAAACATTTTAGTCTACGGTAATCTTCCTGTTATTGCAGGCATCTGTCATAGTGTTGTTTTTTTTATTCATGCAATGTCAATCAAACAAAATAGAAAATTCAGAACTTTATTTCGCAATACAGATCTGGATAATTCAGATAGTGAAATTAACGTTCACATGAATAATAATAAACTCAGGGCATCAAAAAAAACGCACTAAGCAGAATAAAAAATGATCCAAAACCTCAAAGTCAGGCTCACGATTACGAAAGGTTAAAAATTCAAGATGAAGCTATCTCGGTAAGCATAATTGCTATATTATAAATTATTTTTAATCATTTT